CGCGCCCCGCCCCGCTGCGCAGCGCCCCCTGCGGCCCGGGGGTGTCCTTGCGGCCAGCCGGCGGGTCGTGTGAGTGCAGGGGTCAGAATGGTCTGGGCCCCCCCGTGGCCGCCGTAGAGGACACTTCTGTCCTCTCTTGATACGAAACCCGACGCCTCTATGTCCTCGAGTTTTCTATAGAGGACGTAAAGGCGTCCAGTTTCGTATCAAGAGAGGGCAGGGGACAACCAGCTGGCCACCCTGCGCCCCAGCCCATCCTCTGGGGCAAGGGGGGCAGGGGGTGAGCAGGGCAACCTCCCTGGGCACCAAAGTGAAGGGGCGCTGACAGGTGCTGCTCACCGGGCCGGGGAGTGGGACGGAGCTGCAAGTGGCTCATTTTGGGGGGGATGGAGGGAGGACGGCTCCCGCCACTGCGTTCACTCCCGGGCAAGCATTGGGGCGGGAGGCATGTGCCCCCCAGATGTGTGCGCAGGGCAAAGGCAAACTGCCACTGTGGGCTTTGCCCTGGGCACCAAACTTCGTTGCTACAGCACTGCTCTGCAATGTTGCTGCCTGGTTGCCTCTCTCTCTCTCTTTAATTTTTTAAAATTTCATATTTCAGGTTGAATTTGCCAAATCGGTTCCAAAGCCTATCAATTGAGCCGAACTCAGTCATTCAAATCCATGTGGCACTACCACTGTATCCTCCATCCCAGACTCTTCAGCCTGAGGCTTCAGATACCCCCAAATCCATTGGCTGGCATCCTATGTACAGGCCCAAGCCCAGAGGTCTTGGGGTTCAGATGTCCCCGAGTCTCGCTTGCCCTTAGGAGGTGTCCACCATTTCTATAAAGTAGGTGTGTAGCCAAGATCATTCCACTGGGAGGCTATAGTGGACTCTCATAAGGTGTCCTGTCCTCAGTGCATTGCACAGGTATGCACCCACCATTGCACACTGCCATTCAAAAGTGATCTCGGCCCCGGCAACAGACCAGTGCAGGGACTACATTGGATCTTAATCCAGAAGAGGCCTAGTCACCTCTCTCTTCTGGATCACAGCCTCACAGACTCTTCCGCTCTAGCCAAAAAACTTTAACCTCTGTGTGGTCATACTACCTCGGGTGACTGACAGTGAGGTACTGGAGGCACTGTCAAGAAGCTCAGGAATGCTGGACTTGGGTTGATTGAACTGTGATGGCTTTGTGACTGATGAGATACCTTTTGACTATGACTGTGTTTTGTCAAATTTACTGTGCTTTTTTAAAGCTAAAAGTTTCCTATCATCTAGGAAATCAGTGCACATTCCAGCAGTTATACCCTGTTTACTTTTGCTTGGATCTCAAATTGAATACTGTCATACTAGCCCCCTAGCATATTAGTAAAGCTTCTAGTTTCCCTTTAGTTGGAGAAAAAGAGTGTTGTGTTGTATGTGACAATGTGCCACATCACCTGTACCCTACTTTTCAAAATCCTAGATCCGCCCATGCCTAGGGCTGCCACCCAGTGCCACTAGGGGTCAGACAGTGCCAGTGCCCAGCAGGAGGCTCCCACCCCCACACCGCTGCTTGGCAATGACTGCAGGCACTGCCCACCACTGCTAGTATCCAACACTGCCATGGGGGCTCAGCACCACCCCCAGCACCCCATGTCAATGCCTGGCTCATGATCTTAAGGCCATCACCACCATACAACCCCCTGTGACACTGTCTGCCTTGCACCCCTGGCACAGTGCCATGTAGGGGGTGATAGCTGTGGGAGGAGCTCCCAGTCACTCCAGTACTGCCTCAGTCAGCAGGTGGAGGGAAAGGGTGAGTGCCCTCTGCCTCGAGTCCCAGGCCCACTGGCTGCTTACTCCTGGGACCTTGCCCTCCTCATGCACTCCCCAGGGTGCCTGCCACCATCCTGTGCCATGTGTCCCCCCCTAGGACGGTTGCCCACACCATGCACTGCCTCTCTAGGGGACCTGCCCCCTCCCTGTGCGCTCTCTCCCATGGGCCCCTGCGCCCCACACACACACTGCTTGCCGCCTCAGCAGTATCAGGTGCAGGAGGAAATGACTTGTGGGAAGGAAATCAGCTTGCAGGGCGCATGCCGGGGCTGAGGTGCCAGCAAGGGACAGACACACGGACACAGCATCCTGCATCAGGAAAGCCCCCCAAGCCCAGCGCAGGGCACGAGTTAGAGGCCAAGGAAGGTGAGTGGGATCCTGGGGAAGACTGGAGCACAGGGTGTCTGGACAGACGCGAGGGGATGTTCTGAGAAACTCCCCAAGCACTGAGTGTAGGGAGACTTAGAAATGAGAGCTTGCCAATAGATGTGGGGGAGCCTGCATGGGTGAGGGGTCGGACACATGCTGCATGGCCAGCAAGACAGCCCCAGCATGTCCCGTACACACTGAACACACATAGATGGGGAAAGATGGGGTCCTGTGCTGGGGTGCTGGAGGAAATGGGCGGACCCAGAGAGGGCACAAGGCATGGGATGCTGTGCAAGAAGACCCCACGGGGAAGGGCGCCCAGGGTAGACACTGTGGGTAAGAGGCTGCAACACCCCAAACAGAAAGACTAAAGTGATAGGGGAAGGAGGCCCTGTAATGGACAGACCTAGGAAGGGAAGAGGGTGTGAGCTGTGGACAGGCAGGTCTGGAGGGGTGAGGTGCAGGGGCATAGGTGGGCAGGGCCTATGGGGGTGAGGGGGAGGCTTAGGAGGTGGGGTGTGGATAGTTCCTTTGGGGAGAGAGTGGGGTGGGCTGTGGTGAGAGCCTATGTGAGGGTCTCTTGTGGGTGCTTGGTCCTGGGCTGTCCTGCTCCACACTCACTGTGGCCCTCTCTCCCTCCTGCAGGGTGCTCTCGTGGGCATGGCGACCAGCACCATGTCATCTGCTGACTCCTCCAGCCACAGCACCCTGGAGGACCTGTCGGATGCCTTCAGCTTGGCCCTGGAGCGCCATGAGGACTCCAGCTCACTAGGCTCTGACTCTGAGTTCAGTGGGGTTCCCCCATACCGCCAGACTGATCGCTATGGCTTCATCGGGGGTGGCAGTGCCCAGAATGCGTGAGTTGGGGGTGGGGGGCAGGGGTAGCCTTCCCAACTGGGAGTGCTGGGGCAATGGGGAGGGAGCCTGCTGTGCACTGAGAGAAGTATAGACCCTTCAGGTGTGGGATGGGATGCCTTGGACTTCTCTCTTGGACACCTGGGTCCTATTCTGTACATGATCTCTAGCTCCCTGGCACTGTTGTGCCTGTTGGACCTGGTGTCCAGGTTCACAACCCAACCAAGGCAATCCCTTGCTCTGAGCCTGAGTTCCAGTGTGCTCCTGCTCAGCCCCATTGCACAAAAACCTACCGAAGGGCACTGTGCCCACCTGAGTGCTGGTGGTTCAGCACAGACCACCCATAGCCACAAATCAGCTGTACCTGAACCCCTTTCTCTTAGCCTTGCTAGACCCAGGGACCCTCCCAGCTTCACCCCCTAGGCAGAGAACCCTGGCTCTGAGCTAGACAGGCTCAGCTCACATCTGGGGAAGCTAAGCTCCCTGGGGAAGTCAGGGTGAAATTCTCCTTGTTGTCTGAGAGGAGGCTTATGAGAGCATCTACCAGGAAACTGCTTAACAACAAATGAGCCTGTTGTAACTGCAGCTAACCAGGGATGCAGCTGGTTAGTGCCGTGCCCTTTAGTGGTGATTAACCAGGGGTGAAATTCCAAGCTCTGTCTGCTATATAAACACATAGGATGCTGCAAACGAGTTAAGGTGTGTGTGGGGGTGGGGTGGGGAGGGATTATATTTTCTAGCTAACAGGTCAGTCAAGGATGCAGGGGGCTCAGTGTCCTCTGTCTGGGATGGCAATGTTTAGGTAGGATCTCTCCAAACTTCCACCTTCTGCATCCCGCCAGCTTGCACGGCTGTGCTCAAGATAGAGACATCCAGTCTGAATCAGAGCTCTCCAGGCCCTTGGGCAACAGGATCCATAACTCTGCCCTGTCCCAGCCCCACAGATGATGGCATCTCACTGCCCATAATTCCCCCTTTGGCTTGGACCCAGCTTGGGGTCTTCTCTGGTTTGGGTCCCTTGGGGGGTTTCTGGCAGGCAAGTGGGTCTCAGGGGATGAGCTAACAGGGCCAGGAGCACCAGGTCTGTCCCAGGAGGAGGCTCTACGTGCTGAGGGCTCCACACACCCGTTAGCTAACACTTCCTGTTTCAGCAGTGAGCGGCCTCACCACATCCTGTCACTGGTCCCCATGGCAACCTGAGTGTGTGGTTAGAGATGTCAGTGCGTCATCTCCCGCCCCTCCCTGCCCTGTGCTGGCGGCTGCTGGGGCGGGAATGGAGCCCAGGGCAGGAGACAGCGTTGCTGGGGGTGCAGAGAGCAGAGCCCCATTACCTTCCTCCCCAGCTGCCCATACACAGGGTCCAAGGCAGTCCCCACAGCTGATCCCTGCCCGCAAAACATGCCCAGCCCTGCAGGCCCAATGCTGCCTAGACAATCCCTTAGCTGTCTGAGAGGGGCACTCTGCAGGTGGAAATCCCGACCCGCCTCTTTGTCTTTGCTCATGGTGACTTGCTGCTCGCTCGTTATCCAGCAGCTACTCATCCATATTAGATACTCCTTCATGTGCTACTCACGACTCAGTGATCATCACTCCCTGTTCAACACATACTCATTCCTGACACAAGTACTTCTTGCTCTGCAGTCAGTTATTCCTCCCTTACTCAAGGACTACTCCTTGCTCAGTGCTTGTACATCTCTTACAAAGGGGTGCTCCTTGTTCAGCCCTTTCCCGTTCTTTACTTGAGGAGCACTGAGCACTCCTTATTCAATGTTTTTTCATCCCTTACTCGAGTACTCCCTGTTCAATTCTCACTTGCTCCTTACTCAAAGAGTACTCCCGATCAATGCGTGGTCATCGCTTACTCAAGTACTCCTTGCCCTCAGTGCTTATTATCCCTTACTCAGAGAGTGCTCCTGGTCAACACTTGCATGGCCCTCACTTGGCGAGTCCTCCCTACTCCAGGTTGACTCTGTTCCAGCTTGTTACCCAGTGCTCATTGACCTGCTATACATTACTTAAGGGTTATTTGATATTTCCCCCTCATAACTCAATAGCTGTCCATTTCTCTATGCTTACTTGCTCGCTCCTCATTCCTAAACCCAGAGGGAGGAAGGCAGTTTGCAACAGGATGATATGGGTACAAGGGTCCTCAGAGTAGTCCCAGTTTGTGTTTCTGCTCAGTGCTGTGACAGAGATGGCACACAATTGGCCAGCTTCCTACTTGACATCCAGAAGGCCACAGGCAGTGATGATGATGATGAGCTCCCAGTATTTGCTGGGTCGCAGCTCAGACCTTACCCACCTTTTGGGCATGTTACACCATGTGTTTGCTAAGGCACTACTCCTTGTCTATTTAGGGTTTATCTGATGTTATTCAGTGTTTACTGTCACTGTGCTGTCACTCATTACTTACACACCACTCAGTATTGCTCAGTCATTATTTAGTGTTCACTTTTATGCTATGATTCCTTAGTATTTGGCATTTATTCAGTCATTATGTGGAGTTCATTTGGCTGGTATATGGTCAGTACTCAGTCACTACTCAGGATTTACTTGGCTGTTGCTCAGTGTTTACTAGGGAATTACTTATATGGGTCACTGCTCAGTTTTTGATTATTTGTTGAGGCCTTGTCTCCACTGTCTGGTGCCAGTGTTACTTGCTCCAGGGAGGCAAATTCTGGGGGGGAGGGAGCCCTCATTCAGCACATGGGTGCTACAGTAGGCCTGAATCAGCTCCTGAGGGGCTCTTGTTGCATGAGCAGCCTCATTTGCAGAAGCAGCAGATGCTCCTCTGCTCCAGCCCTACTCCTTCTGCCCTACAGCACCTTTCTTTTGACGGCTTTGTGCATGGAAGGGCAGTGCTCTCAGGGTACTGGTACTATGAGGAGGATCAGGCCTGAGCAGTTACTTGGTGTTTGCTGCACTGTTACTCAGTAGCTACTTGAGGTTTAGGTCCTGAGTACTTAGGCACTTTCTGATGTTGACACTGCTGTTACTCAGGGCTTAGGGTACCATTTACTCTGCACTTCTTCCTGCCTGCTCAGCCCTCACTCACTTCTTGCTCAGCGGTTTCACCGCCAGTCATGACTCATTGTTTACCTGGTTGTTATGGGCCATCCTGGGGCCTGTGGAAGAAAGAGTAAAATCGTAACTAGTGAGCTCTGGGCTTGCCCTGTGCATGCATACAAGTCCAATGAGGGGGAGGGTGGGGAACCTCTGGGGGTTTATGGAGGGTCTGTGTCAATGCCCTGGGGTCTCTGGGTAAAGCTAAGGGTGTTGGGTGCTCCTGGTGAGTGCAGAGTGTGGGGATGCAGCTGGGGCTCAGACGAGAGCAGTCAGCAGGGTGACAGGAGCTGGGGTCAGGCAGGGCAATGGTCAGAGTTAAGGGAGCAGTGCACCCTTGACTAGGAAGTCCTTCTTTTCCCAGTGCCCATGTCTTACATTCCCCAAGCTGGGGCAGCAGGATGGAGAGCTGAGGCAGGAGGGAGTAGCAGCCTGGGGCCAGGATGATGGGTGCAGCGGGGACTGCCCCCCTCTCCCTTCCCCCAGTGCAGCACCCTGGAGGGAGTGGGGAGGTTGGGAGAGCCATGGGGCACCTGGACCAGGCCTGTTACCAACTAGGCAGAGGAAGAGGAGGGAGGGGAAGAAGGAGAATAGCAGGGGATGTGCTGGGAAAGGGAGCAGAAGGCGGGGGGCAGCCCGTGCTGGGCCTGGGTCTGATACTCCCTCCTCTCCCTGTCCAGCCAAGTGCTGCCCCCATTGGAGCTGCTCCGGCGCCGAGAGAGCAAATGGCTGGACATGACAGCCCACTGGGACAAGACCATGGCCAGGAGGTACAAAAAGGTGAGAGGGGCTGCAGGGGGAACTGCCAGAACGTGGCAGCCACACCAGGGTGTCCCAGCCCCCACTGCGGCACTCCAACACACCAGGGTACCACAGCTTTCCACTGGGCTCTGCTGACTGCCTGCTGTGACACCCTCACCCCTTTACTGGGGCAGTGCAGCTTGGCAGTGGGGCACCCTTGGCTCTGCCTCTGCAGTCTTAGGTCCAGGCCTCCCACTTGGGTGGGCTCTTGGTGTCTCCTGGCTCCTGAGGGTGCTGTTCTGGGCCTGGCCAGGGGCTGATAGGATTTCTGACTCCCAGGTCAAGGTGCTGTGCCGGAAGGGCATCCCCTCATCCCTGCGTGCTCGCTGCTGGCCCCTGCTCTGTGGGGCCCAGGCCATCATGGATCGCAACCTCGGAAAGTACCAGGTAACCAGATCCCTGATGCCAGCGCCTGCCCTTGGTCAGCATGGGCTCCCCATCCACATGTGGGCTGCTTTCTGCACCACTGTGCTGGACTGTGTGTGAGGCTGCCCTCTGCTGGTGACAAGGTACAAAGGTACACAAGGGGAGGATAACAGCTCCACTATTGCTGCTGCTGAGGGAGCACTCTTGAGCCCATGCAACACAGGCTTGTATTCCTGAGTTACAGGGTCCTGCTTGACCTCCCAGCCTGGCTGCTCTCTGCTCTCCACTCTTTTCGGCCAAGTCTGGCCTGACCCCAGCTCCCCTCAAGGGACAGAGCCAGTCCTCCTTAACCCAAGGCACTTAACCATTCTGGTCCTTATGGTAATTTTGTTCCCCTGTTGCCACAGGAACTGGAGGAAGCCCCCGGCACCCAGCAGTGGCTGGAAACCATTGAGAAAGACATCCATCGCCAGTTCCCCTTCCACGAAATGTTTCTTTCCCCTGAGGGCCACGGGTATGAAAGAGGGCTCAGTTGAGCCCTTGCAGGGCAGGTCTGGGATGGGAGGGGGGAGGTGTGGGTGCATACAGCTGAGGCTGATCTGCCTCAGCTGCTTGGAGAGATGCTGGATCCTGCCCCTGCCCCTATTGCCTCCCAGCTGGGCAGTGTTGTAGTTGTGGTTCCCATGCTAAGCTCTGGGTGGTGCTGTCTTCCCATCAAATCAGGGCCCCACAGCTCCCATGAAAGAGCAGGGCGTGGACAGTGTGGCTGAAGTCCCTGGGGCTATGTCCTGAGAGCCCTGGCACCACATGGGTACATAAGTCCCCACTTTAGCCAGCTAAAATGTGGTAGAAATTCTTATATTCCCATCCATCCATCCACCTACCACCACATAACCCCTCCTCCCAGGGTCCAGGGCCTGAGGACCTGAGCTGGGCAGGTTTAAGGGGGTCCAGTTGGGATGGGCTTGTGGGGCTGGGACAGGAGAAGGCACTGGGGTTTGCCAGCTTCTGCATTTCCCATTGATTTCCATCCTCACCCCTGTCCCTAGGTGGATGGGCCACAGGGCTTGGGGACAGGTGGTGGGAGGAAAAGGGGAGGCCCAATGTGGGGTGCTGTGTGCCCCAGCTCAGCTCTGATGCTGCCACATCCCTGCAGGCAGCGTGGGCTCCTGCAGCTGCTGAAGGCCTACACTGTATACCGGCCCCAGGAGGGCTACTGCCAGGCCCAGGGCCCCATCGCTGCTATGCTCCTCATGCACATGCCCGCTGAGGTAAGTCCTATGCACCCTGCCCCTGTGAGATGGTCACCACCATCCTGCCCACAGGGCACTGCCCCCACCCCCAGCCATTCACAGGGCAGCCCCCCCCCCCCCCCCCCCCCCCGCCCCCTCCAGAGTCTGGAATAGACTCTCCCAGAAGTGGTGCAAGCACCTACTCTGGACATGTTTGAGAGGCATTTGGATGATTATTTTGCTGGAGTCATCTGACCCCAGCTGACTTCCTGCCCTTTGGGCAGGGGGCTGGACCCAATGATCTTGCAAGGTCCCTTGCAGGCCTAACGTCAATGAAGTCTATTAAATCTATGAAGCATTAAACCTATTAGGCATCCCCTTCCCATGGGCTACCTACCCACTGACCCTTCCCCACCACAGATATCACCACCACTGCCCTCCCCCACGGGCCAGCTCCCACTACCTTCCTTCCCCGGTGGCCTGTCAACTCCCCCCCCCCCCCCCCCCCCCCACTCCCACCCCTA